CTCCGGCGGAGCTCCGGCGGCGTCCTTGAGACTCGCGGGAAAAGTAACAGCAACGCTTGTGGGGAGGGGGGAGGGGGAGGGGGAAAGGAAGGGGTGCGGATGGTTGCGCTCGGGGGAGGTAGGGGGGAGAGGAAGGGAGGTAGGGGGGAGGGGGTTGGTGAATTGAGGGGGAGAGGGAGAGGGGAGGGGAGAAGGGGAGGTAGGGGGTAGAGTGAGGGAAAGGGGAGGGAGGAGGTGTTGAGGCGGGAGGAAGGAGAGGGGAGGGGGAGAGAGGAAGGGAGGAAGTGGAGGGAGGGGGGAGGTATGACAGGAGGGAGGAGGAGGGAGGGGAGGAGGGGAGCGGGTGACGATTGCGCTCGAGGAAAAAATAAAATGTCCCGAGCATGGTGGCGTATGTTGCGACCTGTATCGCCCGTTAGCTGGATTGTCATTTCGATTTTATGTTTATTTTTAAACGATTGCTTCCTTACGTTTATGTTTTAATAGTATTACCGTTGCCATACCGGATCAAGTCTCCCTCTTTCTTCCCTCCATGACCAGCAAAAGCAGCGTCTCTGAGAGCAGCACCATAAGCTCACCATCGCCGTCACCATCGCCGCGCCGAGCCCCCCCCCCCTACCCCCCGCCCGCACCATCGCCACACCACTTTCACTCTCTCGTCCGGCCGCCGCCTCGGCTCACATGTGACAGCGGGATCTCGGCCTCTTCTCCTGTCTCCAGCAATCACTTCTAGCATTACACTTCCCTCTGAGGAGACTTCCAGCGCTTTGTTTTTTGTTTTTTTTTTATTGGATTCCTCTTCCCCCTTCCTTCCGCTTCTCCTCTCGACTCCCCTTCTCTGCTCTTCGCTTCGCGCTGTTTTTGGGATCGTTTCTCGTGAGGGAAATTCTCGTCCCGGCCAGCATTGAAATCCCCCAAGGAGGCTGCTGTAATGCCGTAAACGTTCGTGCAGAGCGATTCCCTGCGACTGCTTCGACGCGAGCGGAGAGCCGAGGGGAGAGTGAAGCGAAGCAGCCTCGCACACACACACACACACACACACGGACTTTCTTAAAGGCAGGAAAGTTGGCGGCGGCGTCGGAGAAAGGGCTCCGAGGGCTGCGGGTGGATGTGGGTCAGCCAGTGCTCGTGTTGGCTGTGGAGGATCCGCACACGCGCCCTGTCACTGCCGCCGCCGCCGCCGCCGCCAGTGCCTCGCTAAGTGCCATCGTGCGGGATTATCACGGCGACGGAGTGCCAGGCCCGTGCCACCGCCTCACGCCCTGCCTGCCCTGCCCTGCCCTGCGTGCAGCGTGCCCAAAGTGAACTTTACGAGAGACGCAATAGTGTTCCATTGAACTTTTACCTTTTTCCGTTCTCTGCGAGCATCTCCCTCCTCGCCGCTGCTCGCTTGCGCGCACGCGTAAGATAGTGTGAGTGTGTGTCGGATGCCTGAGCTTCTGTTCAGTGCCCACCCCAAGCAGGTGCCAGTGCCAAGGAGCCGCCCCGGAGTGCCAATTGTGGTGTCGTATTTCTCCGAGCTGGACCGCCGAGGCGCCCGAGACGGAGGTGTCTGGCGCGGGTAGTGATCCGCCTGTGAGGCCAAAGGGAAAGAGACAGCGCGAGAAAAGAGCAGTAATCCAGTGCGAACTCGAGATCAGAAAGAAATCTGATGAATGCGAATAGATAGCCAGAGGAAGGAGCCGAGTGTCTCTCCCGCCCTGTGATGTACTCGCGCCGAGGATGCCCCCCCTGAACTCCAGGAGTGATCTCGACCGCTGCCCGCCCCCCCCTGCCCCTCCCGCGCCCCCTCCCTCCTCCCCCGCCCTCAATCTACCTGTCCTGTGAGCCCGAGGAGACGACCCCCCCCTCTCTCGACCTCCCTCCCTCTCTACCTCCATTTTTTTTTTATCTTTTCACTTTCTCTTCTTCCCTAATCTTTCCTTTTCTCTCCCTCTCTCGTCTTACACGCATCTCAGGACCAACCAAATACCTCTTGCTAGCCTTCTCCGCCGCCTTAGCTTCCTCTACGTGTCTGTCACTTTCTCCCAAGCCCTCTTTTTATTCCCTGCTTCCCTAAGTCTAATCTTCTAGTTAGACATTTCCTCTGTTATTCTCTTTCTGGGTCTTCCCTTCATCGATAATTCGTCTACCTTCTTCCCATTTACCTCAGTTTTTGTATTGCTTCTGTTGTTCTATTTTATTGTTTTCATTGCATTGCTCCCACCCCCCCATCCCCCTCCTTCTTCGGGGACCCCCACCACCTCCATCCTACACCGTTGCCAAAGCTTCTAGAAACCCTCACCTGAAAATCCTAGCCACGCATCCTACCAGTGCATCCCTGTGTCCTAGGGCGCTTCCTTCGAGGGAGTCATTTGCCCGAGTGTCCCTCAAGAAAGAGAGAGAAGGACTCCCTGATTTTCCTTCCCTTGAGTCCTAGCAGAGAGCGAAGGACGGACGAGATCGCGCAACGCAGCTCAGTTACCTTCACAAGGACCATCGCTCGAGCGCAAGCATTAAG